CTAATGTCGTAACAATATCTAGAAAAGCTAAATAATTGTTAGCCTTTAATTCCACTTTGAACTAAATTTTTTAATTTATGAAGTTAAGATGACCTAATTTGCAATGCATAATGCAAATGCATGCAATTTTCTTACATCATCATCATCATTATAGCCTATTCAAAGTCCACTGTTGAACATTGATCTCCCCCATAGATTGCAAATGCAGTTTTTTTATTTTCTTGATGTTATTAGGAAGACGCTGCCGCCTATCTCCTGTTTCAGTTTTTCTCTGTTGACTCTTACGGCAGCCACGGAGTACGGGGTAAAGGATTCTTTAACGTCGCCACTACACGGCGACATAATTAATATTAATACTTAGGCTCTGGGCATGCTAGAGCGACCGCGGTGAGCGGAGGCGACCTGTGGTGGCGGGAGGCGTGAAGACGCTGCGCTTTGCCGCCCTGCCGCTGTAGTGTGCCACGTTGAGGCGGTTGCATTACATGTGGTTCCTTCTTGCTATTATTACGCGGGTTAAAAAATGAGATTTTAATGATTAATTGGTAGTTTTTTTTTTTTGCACAAAATATAATGCAAATTAAAATAGGAATTCATGATTTAAACTAAAACAGGCATCAGTTTGGTGAATACCGTAGACCGTATGATGAAATACGTCAATATCCACAAAAGTTTTGTGAAATATAATATTATGCATATAATGTTCATGCATTCTAGACCATATTGCAGACTGAGGCATTACTTCGCTAATAAATGTCTCCGTATTTATATTTTGAATCGCGGAAAAATCAAAATGTTTTGATTAACAAAACGCGCGAACACGTATTATGTCCTCCGCTGGTCGCGATCATTCGACGCGCGCGCTAGACACGCCAACATGGCACCACATTTCGTATTGTTGTTTTCCCGATCATCACAGTTCATATCATATTGTTGTTTTTCCCGCTCATCGCAGACGCAAGTCGCGTCGCGCTAGCGTGGCGCACGACTTAGGATTAGAATCTTCAAGAAAAGAACCTACTCTTATTTAAAAGTACGGCAACGCATTTGAATTCCCCTGGTGTTGCAGTTATTCATAATCGGTAGTCTATGTAGTAATATTTAAATATAATTATTGATTTTATTTTTTTTATATATAATTCGGTTATAGTTTGTGACATTTTCGTGTTTATTTCAGCGACGGCCACAAATTCGAGGCGTCAGAGACATAATCCGAATATTTTCCCTTTTTGACCACTCGTCGGTCTTCTTCACTGTTGTTAGAAAGGTAAATATGAAATATAATACGAATATAAAGATTAAATAGTACAAGTATGTTGCGAATGTCAAGATTGTTAGAAAATACTTTCAAAATTATTTTAAGAAAGGAAAAAAGAATATTTCTTGGTAACTTTATGTTATGTTAACAGTCATAGCACACATTTATTAGTCAGAAGTAATTACAAGATACCATTTGCCGTGCAGTGGCGGTTAAGAATATACCACATATCTTTCCGTGCGTGTCGTAAAGGGCGACAGAGGGAAACAAGCAGGAGATGGGCAGCAACATCTTCCTCATAGCAGCAACTGTACAGAAAAAAAACTGCGGTTGCCAACCCGCTCGCCAAGCGTGGCAACTATGGAAATATACCCCCCATGATAGTTACGAAGAAACAGTTCCCATTCCCCGGCGACCCCACTATTCCTGGCTACGGTGGCGACCATGCTAACGCCGGGGCAGGGGGTGCTGAGAATCTCCGGTGGAGGTTCGGTTGACACCTACGACGACTTGACCTGGCGACATAATATAACGCACGCACCCTGAGAACTGACGAGAAGATCCTGGAGCTGGAAGAAGAGACAGACAAGTTGCGCTGGAATATTATAGAATTATCCGAGGCCCGAAGAGAGGAGGAGGAAACGGTGATTCTTGCATCCGGCAACTTTTTCTAACACTGGCAGGGCGACCAACTGTCCCAAGGAGGTGTTGGATTTATCGTCCACAAGTCTCTCGTTAACAACGTTGTAAATATTGAGTGTATCGACGAGGGTTGCGCACCTTATACTCAGAATTACCAAACGGTATTCACTGAAGAATTCGCTCCCGAACAAGCCGATTTCCGAAAAGGCTTCAGTACCATAGACCACATACACACCCTGCGGCAGATTGTATAGAATACCTCATGGACTAATCCTGTAGAGGCGACTATGAGAAATCACAGAAAAATCTTATGGTTTCATTTAGATGATGGTGTACCATCTCGTATACCATCCCACCTGCCTTATTGGCCTAGTGGCAGTAAACGCGATTGCTCATCATAAGGTCCTGAGTTCGAATCCAGGGTCGGGCTAAAATCAATTATTTAGGCTCATCAGGGTTATTCCATCAAGAAATATCTTATTCCGGATAGCAATAAGCACTAATCAATAGGCACTATCAGTGAGGGAATAGAGCGCAGACATGTGCTTGCGCATACACTTTGGCAATATAATCCTGTCCTTCACAGATGGCTAGTCTTTGATAGATTACCATATGTCAGATGTGAAATACCCAGATTGGTGAAGGAAAGTAGAGTTTTAACGTTTACTGCCACTAGGCCAATAAGGCAGGTGTTTTTTTTCCAGTTTTTTTTCTGTACAGTTGCTGCTATGAGGAAGATGTTGCTGCCCATCTCCTGCTTGTTTCCCTCTGTCGCCCTTTACGACACGCACGGAAAGATATGCGGTATATTCTTAACCGCCACCACACGGCAAACGGTATCTTATAATTACTTCTGACTAATAAATGTGTGCTATGACTGTTAACATAACATAAAGTTACCAAGAAATATTCTTTTTTCCTTTCTTTAAATAATTTTGAAAGTATTTTATAACAATCTTGACATTCGCAACATACTTGTTATATTTATTCTTTATATTCGTATTATATTTCACATTTACCTTTCTAACAACAGTGAAGAAAACCGACGAGTGGTCAAAAAGGGAAAATATTCGGGTTATGTCTCTGACGCCTCGAATTTGTGCCCGTCGCTGATATAAACACGAAAATGTCACAAACTATAACCGAATTATATTAAAAAAAAGTAAAATCAATAATTATATTTAAATATTACTACGTAGACTACAGATTATGAATAACTGCAACACCAGGGGAATTCAAATGCGTTGCCGGACTTTTAAATAAGAGTAGGCTGTTTTCTTGAAGGATGGCAGGGCGCGGACCGCGAACTCAAAAAGGTCGTGGGTTCGAATCCGCCATTCGACTACTGACGTGAACCACTCGTAACAAAAGCAATTTAAGCTACCACGAGTAGGTAAGGGAAATATTAGTAATGTTTATAGCATTGTTAATATTCTTTAAAAAAAAATCTAATCCTAAGTCGTGCGCCACGCTAGCGCGACGTGACTTGCGTCTGCGATGAGCGGGAAAAACAACAATACGATATGAACTGCGATGAGCGGGAAAAACAATACGAAATGAGGTGCCATGTTGGCGCGTCTAGCGCATAAAATTACCATACCACTACGGGGTCAGTATCAAAAGTGCGAAAAGTCTATATACAACACGTAACATAATTAACGCACTTTGAGAAAGTAGTTTGTTCAAAATCGTTTACTGAATCGATTCCTATCATTTTTAATATAGGTAATTTTTTATCCCAAAAATAGTTAAAACTACGTAAATTACAGTCACACTAAATCTGCACAGTCAAAATAAACTGAAATCGACCGTAACTTAAGGCAACAAGACTTTTAAGAGTGCAGTTTTATGTGTATTACTACTAATTCTGTCATTCAGTAAAAATAAAGAAAACTGAACTTTATTTCAACACGTTAAAGTCTTTGCCATATGTACTGTACCACAACATTCTTCCGGATTATATAACATATTGTATGATTATATACATAAAATACTAATATAATATACATATTATATATATATATATAAACGAAGTTTTTTTTTGTTAATCTACTTAAAAAAAAACAAATATTTAAAAAAGATAGAAACATTGAAAAATGTTTATTATTATTTTTTTTCACTTAACGTTTTTATATGGTTATCTGACCTGTAAATGTTATCAAAAACGCTCTAGAAAATCGAAATAATTATAAAAGTTAATATTTTGGTGTTTTATTGAGTGTAAAATCGAACGAAGCAAGCTTGGGACTTAGGGCATCCCGACTCGGTCAGGTTAGGTTAGAAGGAGATGGCGGCGTCGAGTGAGCGAGCGAAGAGAGCGATGGCAGTTAACGTCTTGGATCTTGATGGCCATCGTATCATGTGGTCTCTGAAAATTTAGACATGGTTTTATCTTATCAACTGCTACCGCAGAAAAATAATATTTATAATTTATTTGCGGTATCTTCGACTTAATACCGGTTATTATTGAAAACTTTAACGATTCTATAAGGACCTTTAAAGTTAGGTATAAGTTTTTTTTGTTTGCTATTTCCGGTAGCGAAAATTTGTCTCTTTATTCTTATTAAGATCGCAAATTTATATTTAACGGATTTAATTGAATAAGTGAACTTTTCACAACATGGAACAAAAAATAATGAACGTGATTTCGGTTTATTATCGTAAGAATAATGTTATTTACCAAATAATCTTTGAATTTTATTATTTTTAGTAGATTGTTCTATATCTATATTGCGCCTTCTGCGATTGATGACCTGCCTAAAACGCATTTTTACCTTATATTGAGTAGCATCACCTAATGGCGAATAGCTAAAATGTTTTTCAAATAAATACCTATTTAGCGTAGTATTGCTTTATTTTTTTTTAAACGTTACCCCTACACTAAGATTTTCTCTTGTATTGTGGGGGCAGTTTACAAACATAAATTGCACAAGGACGAACATCCAGACCCGGAACAACTACTTGTAGGCCATACAAATACTTGTTCCGTGCGGGATTCGAACCCGCGACCCTCAGGCCTCTTTTCCATTACACGGTTTCTCGCCGTGAAAATCTACGGTTAATTCGCCGCGTGTAGGCACGGTCGTCAGTGTGGTATGGATCACTATATGAGCTTGTCGACATGCACGGTGGCGCCAAGGCACGGCGCCGCGGCCGCGTGCGCCGTGACTGCCCCTCGGCGCGCCGCGTCTACGCACGGCGTGATTTTCACCAGTGTTGTATGGCAGTCTATCGGGGTGTGTCGACGGTGCCGGACGTACGCACGGATTCGTGACCGCTTATATACGCTGTTTCGCGATTTTATTATAAAATGAACATAAATCAAGAATTATTAATTACGTTGATTCAAGAAAGGCCTGTAATATGGGATAAGACCATCGACGATTATAAAAATAAGCGGCTTAAATATGATTCCTGGAAAGAAATATTTATTCATTTCCAGCCCACATTTGAAGATTTAAGTGGTGATGAGAAAAACAAGTTTGGTAAGTTACAGATATTTAATTATTAACTTTTTACTTATGCATAGTTGTTTTGATAGGAGAGGCGACCTTCGTTAGATACAAAATATTGTGCAAATCTGTTGCGAACTTCATTAGCCGCCAAACTTCCGCGAACTGCATTCGTGATAGGTAACTGGATTAGTTCCGATTCTGAATCAAGGGTGGACTCATTTTCACTCGCATTGTGAAACTGAAAGTTTTCCTGCTTATGTATAAAATTTTGCAAAACACAACATGTTTTCACAATATCAACTGCCAAATCGATGGACACATTCATTGGCCGGTGAAAAATTCGCCATTTATTGGATAAAATGCCAAACGCATTTTATGATTTACTTGTTCTTAAATTAATAATTATTAAAATTCAATTACATGTAATAATTTTGTTTGTGTGCAATAAACAATTTTAAACTAAAATATGTCATTTAATTTTGTACCTACTTACCTCAGAGTTACAGCCAATCTTTCTGCGGGCGATATACTCTCTCGCATAAAAGTATCTTGATGTTTTAGTTCCTGGGATAATTTTTGGAGCAAGTTGTCGAATGTAGTTTTCTGCATTCTAAAATAATTGTAAAACTTGTCTTCATCTTCTCTCAATTGATTCTTGACAAGTGTATGAAACGCGCCATATTCCTCCCTTTTTTTCTAAAATCGGATGTATCCAAAACCTTACTTCCCTTTTTTTTTCTATTTTCTTTTTCCTATATATGTAATAAGCAACTATAATCTTTTTTTTCGTAAGAAAATTCATGACGCAGCACGTCCTACACAGCCCGAGTAAAAAGCGCTACTAGCCAGTACTTACCAATGTCTCGCGCGGTGATTTTGCCGTATCATGTACAAGCTAGCACGTTTTTTCAACCGTACGGCTTACACACCGTACGTTTGAACAACCGTGTAATGGAAAAGATGCCTCAGCGTAGCCATTCATTGCTAAGCCACTGCGCCACGGAGTCGTCTTTGTTTCACTAGAGGGCGTAAAATTGCGCGAGCTCACGGTTTTTGTATGCAAATGCTCCCAATGTCCGCTTTATAGTGTATATTTAAATAAATTTTTCTCTAAGTGATTCCTTTGGATCTAGATTATAACTTGCTCTTGTGGCTATCTTTCGCAAAACACTACTAATTACGAACGGTTTAACATGATCGACATGGATTGTGTCAAAGGGATTTTTTTAATTGGATGTAAAAACTCAGGGTTTCTTACCACCGGACAATTTAAAATATGTATACTTAAGGCAAGAGGTTACATAATTTTTTTTTAAAGTTATGAATTTTTTGGAACCAGCAGTGTGATTTTCTCACGCTCTTAAGCAAAACTCCCTTATAACCCCTTGCAGTTTATCTAAACATTTTGTTGTAATTTGTTCTTTGAAGTAAATGTGCTTACAGTCCGACAGCTATTTATTTTAAAATCTGTACTTAATACACATAAGAACAATAACTGTAACTTTTGTAACTCTGTAAATTTGTTACAAAAACTAAAAAGAAAAGATCGAATTATACTACCAGAATTTTTTTACTAATTCTATGCTCAAAGTCAAATAAACTTTTTGGGACCTTATCGTTATAAAAATATCTGCATTATTATAGCGATATATACGCTAACGCGTTTTAAATGTAAACAAGCTCTAAGTTTTAATGTCATTATCTTATGAGGAAACTGAAAACTTACTAAATATAGATAGGTAAAAATGCAAACTGTTTAAGCAAAATAACAACACACTCATATACTACACACTGGCATCTACCTATTAATCTTACACTTTGTCTACACTTGTAATATTGGTTAGGATTAACAAATCACGAATATAAAATGTATTTTTTTACATATTTTATTTTGTTTCTTTTTAAAAAATTTAATATTAACTGATTCACTACTCACTACGTTCCAATTATTTTTATGTGGAATGTAGAAGAAATCTTGTAATCGTTTACTATAACATCTGAATATTAATATAAGTGTGTCACACATTTATTTTATAGAATATCTCTCCTGATTTGTTCTTGTACCTCACAACTAATCATTTAGACATATATTTGAGCCATTTGTCGGATTAGTACTTAAATAATTATTTTACTTCTACCCACTTTAATTAATTTCTTGATTGCGGTAAAATTGTTTTTATGCTTTTGTATTATATTTACTTTATTATGTATTTTATTTGGTATATGTTCAATAGAAAAATCGAACTCTTGCATTTCAGTTCACTGACCAGCAATACGTGGCAGCGTATCCCGTTTTAAAAATGGGGATCGCAAGGAGTTACAGTCTGTTACAATTTTAAAACGAATTTCTACCAAATATACACGACTTTTCTTTTTAGGGAAGCTACTGCACTTGGTGTTTCTAGGTCGTAAGAGGAATCATTTTGCTCATGTGGAGTAGTTTGTTCGCTGTAATAAGCAACAGGTCATAATCCATTTTCATCGAATCTTTGACTAACTTACCGTGAATCTACACGGCCTGAAAATGACAAGCTTTTCGTTGTCCAGATGAATTGACAACTCAGCTCAAGTGCAATCTCCTAATTTGGAAAGTCCGAATGTAAAATATTTACGATATTTGTTACGAAGGACCATCAAATGCGATCTAGTTCAGATTGATTTAAACTATCACCAAACTTCAGATAAGAAAGTTATATATAGCCTCACTAACAAAGTTATAAATTGTATTCCTCTAATGTGTCCCCAAACCTAGCATGTTTAGCTTACATATTAGTTAACATCAGATAGCAATGCGGACAATAATTTAGATTGCCACGCTAACCAGAAAAACATACAGGTGGTAAGCCTTCGTACCACACTTTATAACTTCGGGAGAGTGTATTGTTTGTCGATCGCTTCAGCAACCATTAGTAATTGGTTGCTCCTTCCTAGCTAGCCATACTTCGGTATGCCGCGATATCCAGCGTAGTAAAAGCTAATAGGTATTCGAAATATCTGTATAATACTCGTAATGTGCTTTTGAAAGCGTAGAATAGCTTGCTGAATATACAGACTCGAAATTTGAAGGATTCGCATTTGAAGTTCGAACACTAGTATTTATGGACATATATTCGTATAATACGAAAAAAAACTTACATGAACATAATACACACATGACTAGAGGCTTAAATCTAGTCACACACATTAAGTAGTTTTAAAAAAGCTACACCAACGGAGTATTCAAAATCATCATCGTATGCTTGGTACTTTGATTATATACAGGTATATAATCAAAGGCTTTGTATATAATATTTGCATAAATTATATCAACCTACAATGAATATATCAACAATTAAATATTGATACTGTTTTCAACATACGGATAAAAGAATTGTGTTTGTATTTAGTACGTCAATGATTACCTACTGCAATACCCTGCCGGTAACGGATAATTGCCCCATTTACATTCAGCCCGTTTGGGCAGGGCAGTGGGCAGGGCAGTATGTAAACAGTCTACTCGCGCTGACACTGCCGCTGCCGCTGACACTGCCCGAAATGTCGGTTTTTCGTGCGGAAGTCAAAGGACGGGCAGCGCGAGCGGCAGTGTGTGTTCACATTCAGCTCCATCGCTCACTTCGCGACAAGCGCCTGGATGAACGGACGTGCGTGCCGTCCTGTTATTAAATAAATACGATCTACCAAAATGCCTTTCGAGTGGATTAATGAAAATACAATAAAGTTTTTAGAACTGCTGGAATCAGAAAAAACTATATGGGATTTCAACGATAAAAACCACAATTCATCATCTTCTACGAATACGAATTTTCTTTTTGAGTTAACATAGTACCTATGTACATAATTAATTATAAATTCGTCAAATTTATTATATTAATATAAAATTTAGTTTAAGGAATTAATGAACATTGACATTTTATTTCTAAAAACGATTAGTAACTCATATTGATTATTTATTAATTAAAATGTAAAATAAGTTAAAAGGTAATATTTGCATAATAGCCTGAGATTTTTAAATTATAATTTTATTGTAATTAAAATTACGAATTAGTTTATACTGAAGTGTAATTAATAAAATAATAATAGCTTAACTAATCTCATATAATATTTAATATTATTTATGTAACAATAATATAATAATTCAATTAATAATTTATGAACAATTTACTGTATAAGAATTCAAATAGAGTGGATCTGTATAAGTATTTAATTGTACATAATATTTGAATTCAAAAAAGAATGTGTGTACCTAACTTTTAAGCAACATCGGGTTTGTGTAATTAGCTGTATTTCATATCATTTTTCCATGCCAATTATGGCAAAACATGTCAGTTCCACGTCATTGATCATCTTATGTACCATGTTTTTAAGCAAATAAATTTTCTATCTATCTATCTATCTTCTTTTGAACTTGATATCTTTTTAAATTATTAACATAATTTTGTATTGCAAGAAGACACAGCGCGGACGCTGTAATTATTTCGACGTCCGCCATAGTCGAAAGCCGAAAGCGATGTGAGTGGTAGGGCAGAGTGAGAATACACACTTCCCGCGATCCTGCTACGGCAGTATTTAGGGAAGTATTGCCGGCAGCGCGAGGAGCAGTGGCAGTGGCTGAATGTAAATGGGGCTATAATAATATTTGAGCCTTCCCTTGAGTTGTTTATAGGAATACTAATAACGCCGGTAAACATTCATAATAATAACAATGTATATTTTAGACACACAGAATAACAAGGTATAACAATAATTATTACTATTACTCACAATTTATCTTCCGTGTACGTTCTCTACTCAACAGCTTTAGTAAGACTGCCGCTCTTAGCTGCCGCTCAAACCGACGACATCTGTCTTTTATAGGCTTGTAATTTAACAGTGCTAAACTACAGATGGCGTTGCTTATGTGGTTTCCGTTACAAGTTTTTAATAAAATTGGATATTAAGCCGTAAGTTTTTACATTATAAAACATTATTTATATTTCTTATAATTATCTTAAACATTCTAGTTATAAAAATAAGCAAAAATAAATAACTAGATATAATCTAAAACAATGGTAATTTTAAAATTACAATTAAATTATTTCTTTTTGTTTATTTAAGCTAAAGTGACAAACGAACTTGCAGTCCACCTGATGGTAAGTGGCTCCTGCAATCCGTTAACACTTGCAACCAACTTCAAACAACGAACACTAAAGATGCTTCGTCACCTCTGAGGACTAAAATGAATTTAAAAACTATACCCTTTTTTTTCAAACTTTACACAAGACGGTAGCTTAATCCGTATGGAAAATAGTGAAACTAGAACTTCGTGCGGTTATTTTAATATTTCTGCCTGAATTTTTTTAAAGTGTTTTTGAAGAACTGTAGTCTATTTTGGCAGACAATGCTCCGTTTTTTTTTACAGTGGCATAATGGCGCGCTGAATTTAAATGCGGCAGAACCGCCTGTAATGACAAAACTCTATCCGGGTGGCCGACAACGGCAAATTGTTGAGGTTACGATAGATCGACGTATAACCATCCGTTATATACCTGAGATTCTAAAGCTTTCGTTTGGGAAAATTCAATTTATTCTAACTCATGCCTTAAAATTAAAAAAGGTGGCCGTGCGCTGGA